GAGAAGTTGAACTCAAGGAAATCTCGCTCTTATTATTGCACAAACGTCTGTATCTGTGTATAATGCCCTGTTAACTGTTTTGATAACTTAAAGTGTTTTTTTTTTGTAATGGCTACAGTAACATTAAATCTACTACCAAAAATACTGTAGTGTTGAAATCACGAAATGCGACATTTTAAAAATGTTTATATATTACATATGGAATTTTTATGCTTTCGCTATTGCTACACAATAGCAAATGAAATTATTTTCTTTAGATCTAAATCGCGTGTAGTTGTTTTTTAGGACATTTTGCCGCTCTCATGGCCACGGTTGACTGAGATGGTAAAGTCATCAACTAGTGGTATACACAACTAGTTGATGACTTATATTTATAAGATTGGTTTGAATTAATATTAGAGAACGATGGATTGTTTAATAAAATAAATATACGAGATTTAGATCTAAAAAAATTGTTTCTATTTCCAATGTTTATATTACATTTATGTCTGTCTAACAAAAAAGGTGTGAAATGGGATTTATATCATATTGTTACGATACAAAATCCATTGAATTGTGACCAATTCGATTTTAATCGATATTCAACGGCTTATAATTAAAATAACTACAAAGAAAACTTTAAATATATTGGGAATATATATATTTTTTTACAATATCAAGTGACGGGACGAACAAGTCTTGCGCCTGATGGTAAGCCACACGCCTGTCCATAACAGATGCAGTGCCACTTAGAGCGTTAAATCGCAAAGATCTGAGGGGCACTGCCACCTTGAGACACAAGTTGACAAGTCCTATGTGCCTGTAATTTCACCAGCACCCTTCAAAACCGGTACACAGTAATTCTGACATTACTTCCCTGGACGAACTCTTTTATATTACAATGTCTGTCTGTCTGTCTAACAAAATAGGTGTGAAATAGGATTTGTATTATATTGTTACAATACAAAATCAATTGAATTGTGGTTAATTTGATTTTATTCGATTTTCAACGGCTTATGATTAAAATAACTACAAAGAAAACTTAGAATATATGGGGAATATAATGTGTACTTTTAAGGGCGCTGGTGAAACTAGAGGCATGTGGGAGTGTGGGGTGACGGGTGCAGTGGCGGTGCCCCTTAATTATTTCAGATTTAGTGTGTGTGTGTGTGTTTTAGATTTAGGAGTGGCACTGCATTTGTATCGAACACCAGCAGGCGCACAACTTGTTCGTCCCCTCATTTGATACACACAAAAAAAGTATATAAGTACATCCTAACAATTCTATGTATAACGGCATTTTTACCATGGAATTATTAAAATTGTACCGACATTTATACCTGATAAATGACGGTCGTAATTTTGATTGATTACGATTGTAATTATAATCAATTTAATTGTAATTACTCACGATGCAAATGCTCTTATAGCGGTGCTTTAGCACAGTAATAATAGCACTGTTTACTAAAGGTTGTATAATGCAATAATTGTACATGATTATCTAGTGTGCCAGTCTAAATATGGATTGAAGAATGTTGAAGAGATACCTTATGTAGGTATTTGAATTATGTGCGTGTTTCGTATTAAATATGATAAAGTTGTTTCTAAAAATTGCTTACGGTGATTATTGTGTCCATCATGTATGTTATTGAATTTTATGTAATCAAAGAGCACAGGTTTTTGTTGACGCAACTAGAAGACTGCTTTGCGATTGCTAGCAGAGCGTACTCATTTCACAATCCCCTGCCATCTCGCTGCAAAAAAAGCAAACAATGGTTTTTGCGTCAAGTCATTTGTTGGGCAGATGCGTTGCGCCGCGCAGCAGTGGCCGGATGCGCCCGCGCACCGCCTCTCGCTACTGCAACTCCGTCACCGCTGATGTGAACTTTGTGGTTTAACGGTAGATGCTTTACTTTGAAGTAAATAAACAAGCCTCTTTTGTTATAATATGGAGGCAGCCTTGAAGATGTACTGATAAATAAATAACGCATATACTGATAGCCCCGCACTAGGAAAACCCTGCGTCACTGGTGCCAGAGACGCACTCATAGACAACCATCAATTACACCCAAACTCACGAGAGAAATGACTGTAGGCCAGATAAATATTTTTCTCGGTCCGGGAATCGAACCTGGGACCTCTGCGTGGCAGACCAGCATCGTAACGTTTCGGCCAAGATAGGCAGTTATAAAGTAAATCGGTTTGCCTAGTATCCATCTTTTCTCGAATGTGAAGTACTCTGATGGTTCAAGTATAATCAATGCTATTGGTCGTGTTCAAATTCATACACATTTTGGTTCTGTCATTGGTTGTCTGTCAAATTGGTCGTAACATCAATTAAGCGCGGGATCAAGAAACCCGCCATCAGACCGGCAATAACTACGCGGAGTGCTTTCACGGTGCTTTCAGTCTTTCACGGAAAGTACTACATTTCTCATCTGATACTGGTTTACCACTTATAAGTTTATACAGTGCTAACGTGCGACCTTTAGATATTCAACAATTGCCGCACTACAACTACACGTTGTTACTACAAACTTAATGACAATCGGGTTATTAGATGGACGGATGCGTGTTGCAATTTGTATATGTAAATATAACTATAGTTTGCGCGAAATTCATCTCCTACAGTCTGTTGGTTTTAGGCAATATTAAGGCAGGCACGTATAATTGCATAAACCAGTTCAAAAGTTCGTTGGTTCTCGGCTTCACTGAATTACGCTGTAGATTATTGCACAAAATAAATTGCAACTTTTTACTTTGCTTTCATAAAAACCAATCAATAACTACAATTAATCTAGCACAAATAATTCTATAGATTTTATTTCTTAAATGTTATTAATAAATGATTCTCTAACGCACTTCTCGGGTTTGGACGACAACAAAACGATTCCAGGCACCCACTCCGTTTTCGTAGAATTGTAGCATCCGGCGCCTGGGCAGTACCCCTTCCGGCTGCACTATTATGTCATATGTCTCTGGGAGTTGATTACTGCTAAAGTTTTTAATGTACGATAAGCCTACGTTTTTCTTTCTGATCAATAAGGTGTTAAGAATAGTGCCATAAAAAAGAGGGACACTGCCACTGCGCCTGTCGTCCTGAGACATAAGTTGACAAGTTCCATCTGTCTTTACACTAGCACCCTTCAAAACTGAAACGCAGTAATGCTCACATTACCGCTTGGCGGAAGAAATAGGTAAGGTGGCAGTACTTTCCTGGACAAACACTTAAACTATTTCATTATTAACATGTCAAGATAGTTCTTAGAACCATTATACAAGGGGAGATCGAATGTAAAAGGGGCAGGCAGACGAAGATATTTAGATCAGATGGGACGCTAAACAGAGATGGTTGGCGATTATTTCACCGACAAGAGTCTAGATCTTAAATATAAAGAAGAAGACGTACGTTTATCTAAGATCTCAACTGATGTTAAGTGAAGGTGTGGACGGATGAGGTACCTGGTTTCAAAAATATTCAGGTTACATCTTCAGATTACAAAACAAACTGAGGTTGCATCGTTCGAAAAACACAGAACACGGCAAAGAGTTTTACTGATTGTCTATGTGCGTAAGGGGTACTTGAAAATGGATAGTTTTCTGTAAACACTCGTGAATTTGTTTGAACAAATTCATAAGTGTTTATAGAAAATTATACATAGACTAGCAAATGAGCAGTATGAGCCACCGGAGAACCGCGAAGACACTTTTCGCTTTACAAAAATGCTATTCGTGCAACTAAGGGAAAAGCTAATGTCCGCTTAAGTACGTCTTAAATCAATGTTTAAATTAAATAAGACACCCTTAATACAATGTATTAAGGGTGTCTTTTGCATTTTATTAGTATTGGTTTAAGCATTACATTAGCATTGGTTTAAAACGGCATTTGGAAGTAATTTGATTGGCATAAGTCTACTGCGCTCTGGTTTCGGCGCATCACAATTCCTTAAATTATTTGCATATTTGGTATAATGGTATAACAAATTGCATTATTTAATTGGAAAATCAATTTTCTAACTGAATAATACTCATTCTTAATATATTCGCTCAAGGTTTCGTGAATCCGGCTTGCTACGATGTGTTTGACCTTTGTAATTTGACGAAGTAATGTAATAACATTGGTTATTATATTACTATGTTTACAAATGATGACCATTTTGGTGCTTCCAATGTGGTGCCCCATTACAACGTCACGTCTCGTATCATTGTACATGATGACCTTGTCATTTATAATGAGTGGGCGCTGCGTGAGGAGACCACGGTTTGGATTCCCGATAGAATAAATTTGGGATTTGGATCCTCAAAAACACATTGTGAAAGAATGCGTCCAGGGAAGTACCACCACCATACCTACACCTCCGCCAAGCAGTAATTAAATGTGAGTGTTGTGTTCGGGTGTTGATGGGTAACGGTACTGGTGAAACTATAGCTACAAGGAGACTTGTCAACTGATGTCTTGATGACTGGGTACCGGGCGCAGTGGCAATGCCCCTCAGATCTTTGCGATTTAATCATCTAAGTGGTACTGCGGCTGTTAGGCGCACTACTTCAACAATGTACCATGGTGAGTGCTCTGAAGAGCTGTTCAACCTCATCCCCCCTTCCCCGTTCCTGCTCAGAAGCACGCGTGCTGGCCTTCGTAGTCACCGTTTCACTACCTGCCGAATTCCATCGCGTACTAAAAGGTTCGGTGGCTCCTTTCTCTGCCGCACGGTTGACAAATGGAACTCCCTTCCGGCACATGTCTTCCCTCCCTCTTATGATATGGGGTCCTTCAAACGAGGCGTGAAGAGGCATATTGCAGGCAGGCAGGGTGGAGGTGGCTAGTGCAGTGAGGATTTCATCGCTGCACTAGGTTCCTTCGCGTTTGGATACCACTTTCCACTTAACATCAGGTGGAGTGGAGTCATTTGCCTGTCATGTATAAAAAAAAAAAAAGGCATAAAATTAGGTCGCTATCGACCCATGTATGAGGCAAACATCAATCAGTCATATAAAGCGTTTATTTATTATTGTTCTAGGTGAAACTATGCTGAAACACGTGGCAGTGTCGCCGCATCGGCAGCGTGCCGATTCGGTCAGCCTGGCCTCGTCGGCCTCTTGCTGTAGTCTTGGCAGTCTCGAGCATCGCCACGACTCTGTCACCGATCTTTCGCATCGAACGGTGAGTTTTACAGCAGCACTACGACACCTGGCGGGTGTTCAGTTCACAGAGTCATTTCACGCAAAATCCTCTCTGAGTCGGTGTAGCATGGTCTGTAATTCCTAGGAAATAAAAGAGATTTTTTGTAATCATGATGTAGCAAAACTAAATTTTGCTATACGTTAGAAAAATTCGCATATCGTCTTAGCTTCTTATAAATTTATTAACCAGTAATATCGCTGGTTTTATTATGTATGACTTGAGAAGCCATTTCGTGTTGGTTGTTACAACCATTACTAATAAAATAAATGCGGTAGATGATAGTAGCCACACTCCACATAAGAGGATGACAATGTTTGTATAGAAGTTGTATAATTAATCAAATAGCACATCGCAATGTCGCAACGTTTACGCTTTTTTCTCCCATGATCGGACACTTGGTTACTAAATCAATTACGTGTATGAAATAGCGTGCGAGCGGACGTTGCAGTTACATAGACAAAGGTTCTTGGGTCAGGTGTCGTATAACATCGCAATGGATGGATAAAGAAAGGCTAGTTCTTTGTTTATTATCATTTGTTCTATCGTCTATCAGGTTTAAAGATGTGAGATATTTTTTTATTTTCTATTTACGTATCCATTTAATAACAGACTTCAATGGTCTAAACTGGGCAGTGTCGAGGGAATTCTTTTATCTATAGTAATGAACAAAAACTTAACATTTCAGTAAAATGAGTGTGTGAACAGCAGGAAAATCAGTTTCTTCTGATCAGCATTTGGGAAATATGCCACGTTCCAGACCAATCACTCGCAATGACCATCCTCGTCGGCGAGGACGAAGAACCCCTTCCAGCGGCAGCGTCCAATAGCGCCCTGAGGCGAGGTCCGTGCCCGCGCGGCAACTCTCAACCACGCTACTTAAAATTTTTAACGCTCTTTTGTCCGGAGGCGCAGTCAAGACTATCAGCAGTCAACTGCAAAATATTCTTTAAACAAAAACCAGAATGAAGTAGCACATGTGTACATTGCTGCCACAGTGTTCAAGATGGAGTTGCGACTGGCCTGCAGCCAGTAGAGCATCGAGGACGTCTCTGCGCACAATGGCATAAAAGTCATTGGTACTAGCCTGCTGCGGAAACATGCCTGAGGCACAAAATCTGCAGTAGCCCTTTCAGCATTCTGAAGACGTTGATATTGAACTCGAAAAGCTGGCTCCTAGACTATAGGTGTAAAAGACTTGACAGTATGCTCTAAATAATGTGATTTTTATTTGCTTATCACAATGTGCAAACTGCCAGCGCCCTTCTTTCCCTTTTAATGATTGTTCTAATTTTGGTGTTAAAATTTCTTTCGTGTTTAAGAAGAGTTGATTAAATTTGCATATTGTTCATTGGATGCTTTTGGTCTGCTGGTTATTACTTCTGTATTGTACTCAGCACTAAAATCCACGATGCTAGTTATAGTAAGCCCATTCTTCTTTTGTACTGGAATATTATTTTACTATGTAACGGAATTATTATACAAAAGGAAGCAATTGATAGTTCTTACAATAAGTTACAGTTCTCCGTGTTTCATTTCCTCTTGAAAACAACATAATAATTCTTGTAATTTTTATAATGTAACAAAGGATTACTATAATGATATACGCATCAAAATAGGCATTTTCCGATTTCACTCTCAACGGCTAATATCTCGACTTCCTCTTGGCAAATGAAGAATAAAGAGTGATCTAAGTTCTCTTTACCAAGTTACACGTGCGGTCGACAAATGCGTTATCATCGTATTTACGTTTTAATCTTTACGAACAAGGTGCTACTCTTGAAATGATCTAGGTGTAAAAGTGACTTGTTAGTACAGTGAACGGATGTAGTAATTTACACAACGATCAATAAATATTTCTTATCGATATTTTTTTTATTTAGTTACACTCAACAAGAAATTACGTTTGTATTTGTTGATAACATTTGGAAATAACCAGAATATTTGAAATTCTGGAAAAAATTGAATTGTGAAAATGAGAATTCATAGGATTGCAAGTTGGGTATTGTGTGTAGCCTTTGTTTAATAAAAGATTTTTTAGATTGAAATTTGCAATGAGTATGGAATGATACCAAATTCCGTATTTGCCGTCTCCGTTCACGATTTTGGGCAAAAAATAGAAACCCGACATTTTGGTTAAAAACAAAAAAAAAATGGATGGATTGGGTTTTAACCCTCTGCTTATATATATCTGATTCTGGTGTGGATGTTTAATATGTTCAAATAATTAAACTCCTTAATTGCCATTTGACTTCATCAAGAATTTATTTATTCAACCATGATATTGATACTCCTATCAAAAAAATTGTTAATTGTATTGAAACAAGATTTCATTCTCATACTTATTGCTTTCCGATTTATGTAATTACGTACTTTCAATAACGGTTAGTTTTTATCATTGTGATTAAACTTACGTTCTTTAAACTTTTGTTCAACGGTTAGTAACTATGGACATAAAATGTAAATAAGCATTTCTCACGCTACGTCGATATCTTTAATATTTGCATAATTAGGTCCTGACACTAGTTTAAATTCGACTTTTATCGCTTCATTAAGCATTAAATGTTCAAAATCTATATATACATTTAATTGAATTTATCTTTATCTATTCGAGATGCTACATTAAAATGTTGCGAGTTCATCATTGTTCCCTTACATTAAGTTGAATACGATATTATTTCAAATGAATTTGAAGTATTCTCTGGCTTATACTCACCTTTATGAGAATTGTTTGACAATGAAACTGTTTCGACATTGTACTCTCAGCGTTATATTATTGTTAAGCTGAGTGTTGAATATTATATAGCAGAGTTCTAGCATGTTCTAGCGATATCCAACAATGTTCAGGATGCGTGAGGTTATTATAACAAATCCCTATTTGCATAGGCTTATGGTCAACAGCAGATTAATATAGGCTGTTGTTGGTGGAGGATATTAAACAGATAAGTGTATGTGTAAGTTCAGGGAGGTACTGCCACCTAACCTATTTCTGCCGCCATGCAGTAATGTGAGGTGTGAGGTTTTGAAGGGTAAGTTTGCTGGTGAAATCACAAGTACATCAGATTTGTCAACTTATGTATCAGGGTGACAGGCGCTGTGGCAGTGTCTCTCAGATCTTTGTGAATAGCATTGCAACTGTTATAGATAGCCGTGTCGCTTACCATCATGCACACGACTTGTTCGTCCCGGCACTTGGTATCATAATAAAAGTCAACTACGACCTTGGATTCTATATATATGTAACTTAAAAAGCAAACAGCTTCTGTTCAAAAGTTTCCAAAATTGCTATCATGCACTCAGCCTACACGCATATTAATTAAGGCGACACTGACATTCGATGGCCGACTCAGATAGGCCGATTTCTCGATTGTTCCCAACCATCTGGTTCCCATCGCGCTTTACTTCGCTAGATAACACAGTATTGTTGCCCGTGCGCACTTAAAATTCGACACAGTTGCAATTACGTCGTTCATGTTTATCTTTGAGAGTTTAAAAAAATATATTTTTATAACAGAAAGCTATTCAAAATTATAATAATTATTAACATAGATATTCTTTATCCGCTTTCTCAGTAATGGCACATAAACGCCATTTGTTATACGTTATCGTCGGCTGCGCAAGCGCATAATTTATACTAGACACATGTTTATCATAATCCAGATGTGGTCGCCTTGTAATAAGGGATTTGGAAATGAGGACTTTGTTTTGATTACATTTTGATCAAGATTGTGTACTGCATTGTATCCGTACTGATTAAGTATTCATTACTCAATGTAAGAGTGTTATTTGAAACATTATCACAACAGGATAGTCTTACCACACCGTGACCACGTAAAGCATTATTTAATAGTTTGTTTATTCAAAAACCATCATGCGTGCGTTAAACGGATCATGGTCACCATCATCGTCAACCTATTGCAGACAGTCTACCCAGTCTAGCCAGCCTATGCCTATGGCTTCTCCCAATATGTACCATTTCGCCTGGTCCTCAGCTTTTCGCATCCATATGCTGCCAGCTGCCTTTCGGAGATCGTCACTTCATCTGATCAGCAGTGGTCTTCACTCAAGAACTCGTTTTCCTAATCGGTTATCAGTCCTTGGACAGATATGGTCAGCACATAGCCACTTCAGCTTGCTTATTCTACCAGCTATGTCGACGACGTTCGTTCTTTGTCGGATAGCTAATCTTATCCTTCAAAGAAACTCCAAGCATAGATCGCTGAGCTTCTGATGGTGATGAGATATAACGTAGAATGTAGATATAGCTTTTTCCAAGGAATACCTACATATTTTATTTAAAAAATATAGAAAATTCTCTTGAAAAATTGGTACAAAGTGAGTAATTTCGGTTCAAATTACGTGTTTTTGAGACGTAGTTTTCGAAACTACCATACATAACAGGAATACAAAGTACCTACGACCCTAGCGTATTGTTACTAGATCGTGTCTACTTTATTGAGATTGATTAGTTAAAACGTTCGTGTGGAACATTCTCGATACTTAGGTATTGAATGATGCGCAAAAGAAACTGGCCTAAACTAGAATGCTTTTTTATGATACTAACGGTGGCACAAACAAGTCGTGCGCCTGGTGTTAAGCGACACGCCTGTCCATAACAGTTGCAGTGCCACTCAGGGCTTTAAATCTCAAATGTTGGTAAGTTCTAAGTGTTTATATATTTTCACCAGCACACTTATCCTTCAAAATGGGAACTAAAAAGTGTTAATTTGATAAACGAAAATAAACTTGGCAGAAAAACCGCTTGATTTTAATTCCATTTGGCCATGCAAATCGCTCTTAGTGATGAACTTCGACAGCAAAATGGCAATCAAAAGCAGGAAAAATAAGGCACATTTTCTATATTCATTGCAAAACCAAAGTTTAAGCTTTTTCTTATTGGGTTTTTGTATTATGATTGCTTATCCAGGGATCCTTGTACAATTCAACAATAGAATTATTTTGAACTTTATTTTACGAATACG